CCCCCCCCCCCCCCCCCCCCCCCCCCCCCACAGACCGTGACAGAGAACCCTGGTACCCATCACAGACCGTGACAGAGAACCCCGGTACCCATCACAGACCATGACAGAGAACCCTGGCACTCATCACAGACCGTGACAGAGAATCCCGGGTACCCATCACAGACCGTGACAGAGAACCCCGGTACCCATCACAGACCGTGACAGAGAACCCCGGTACCCCTCACAGACCGTGACAGAGAATCCAGGGTACCCATCACAGATCGTGACAGAGAACCCCGGCACACATCACAGACCGTGACAGAGAACCCCAGTACCCATCACAGACCGTGATAGATAATCCAGGGTACCCATCACAGACCGTGATAGATAATCCAGGGTACCCATCACAGACCGTGACAGAGAACCCTGGTACCCATCACAGACGTGACAGAGAATCTCGGGTATTCATCACAGACCGTGACACAGAATCCAGGGTACCCATCACAGACCGTGACAGAGAAACTGTAGGTGTAAAGGATCAGATAAACGGTTAACTACAAATGTGTCGCAAAGGAACGGAACAAAAGGATTTCTATTTAATTAGTAACAATAGATCCATCGTGTTTCACATTTTTAATTCCGCAAGGAATTGCTCTAACAACTTTTTATACCAAGTTGAATTGAAAAGAAAAGTAGATTTGCAGAGTGCGAAAAAACCGAATTCACCAAATTTGGTATTTAGTTTATGTTCTGATGTTGAAGCAGTCATTTTAACCGATATTGATACTTTTTCTTTATTCCTCATAGATTTCGTTACCTGACTGGAAGTTTTATTCAGTTGCCGTTGTTTCGCAGTCAAACGTTCTTTTTTATTGTTAATTGATAACTTCATATTGGCTGATTGTTTGTCTACAAGTTGTTTTTTGATAATACTACTTTCAATTTTTGATAACAAATGTTGTGTTAAGCAAAAAGTGACTTTTTGTTGACCATTTATAACTTCTCGAATTGTTTGATATTCAGCGTCAGTATCTCCATATAGAACCATGAGATCAACCCATGACAGTTGACTTGCTTCGATCATAGTACTGACATCCTTTGCGGGTGCAAAGGCATGTACGACGTCAAGTTTGCTGCATTTGCACAGGTAGTTATACATCATCTGCCGTTCATAAAGTATGGTGACTTCTGGTATGTCACTAAACCTCTCAGAATCAGAAAGTAGGACTACTTCCATTTCTGCATAGCTTTTAGAAGTTGTCATCATCTGAAACTGAAAGGAAAAAGTTGATTACAATAAAATCTTCGGGATGATAGATCTGGTATATGAATCACCGTTCAAATTTCATGTTTGTATAAGAAAAATAGTCTTATGGCTAAGTTCGTGTATAGAAAGAGCAAATTATGTTAATAAAGAAGCAATCAATGTCAATGGATGATTGTGTACTTATTCAGGTATCAATTGTTCAGCCAAGCTGCATAAGTCAAGCGCATGTTGATAGTGCTTATATGCAATATCATCGTGCCCTTTTTCACTTAGTTCATCGCCTAGTTTCTCACAGTGCGCTGTTAAATCAGCCGCTAGTTTAATAAGTATGTCGATCTCGTTATCAAACACGGCATCCAGCTTGCTATAATTTCGTGCAAAACGCTGCATTTCGACCAGTTGCTTCTTCGTAATCTCCAAATAGATGGAGTGAACTGCGGGATAGGGATGTGCAAATTTGACGATACGCTTAGCATGCTGTGGTGATTTCAGAATTAGCAACATCAGTTGATGACGATTGGACATAATAAATAATCCAAGCATTATTTCATCGACAAATTGAACAGTTTTGAAACCAAGCGCAGTCAATTGATTGACATATATAGAAGGCCACAAGACTTGCTGATCTGCATAAGTGACAATCAAGAAGTCGTGCAGATATTCTAGAAAATATCAGAAATTTTCTTCCTATTCACCATGTTCTAATCTCTTATGGGTGGTTTGATATTTAAGCAAAATAAGAAGAAGCACTGCAATGACTTTTTTCATGAAACTTAAGCTTACTTGACCCAGATTTGATGGCACCTACTATATAAAAATAAGAATAACGTTTCCACAATAAAGCCCTTCCAGCCTCAAAATCCGACCTCAGGCCAGGAATGTTTGAACGGCATGAAATTATCAAGATATGTTGGGACTGGTGACGTATGGCTACGCTCAAAATTTCAGCCCTGTACATTGACGTTTGCTACAGATATCGGTCAAACAAGGGTCAATAACTTGCTAATTTCATCTCCAACATTCCTCTGTAGTCTTCAGTCTATACATTTGATTTTTTTGTGTGAAAGAGCATGCCAGATTAGAGTGCTAATGAGATCTTTTTTTAAACTCTTGCTTTCTAAGAAATAAAAACATCGAAAGTTCAATGACTCAGAAAAACTCTAAAAAGGTGGCGTTCTAATTATACTATAAAGGTTTATAGATACAATAAAAGCAAAGCTTAATAAAAAAAACTGCCTCTCATAGGCACTGCAGTTTTGCATGCTCTTTCAAACAAACAGAAACTAGGGTGTGGATGTGGTGGGTGTGGGCATGGGTGTAGGTGTGGATATGTGACTGTGGCTGTGAGTGTGGGTGTGGCTGTGGCTGTGGGTGTAAATTTGGACGTGGACGTGGACGTGGATGTGGGTTTTCTCTTTACTAACACCCACACCCACCCCACCCTCACACCCTGCACGATCATTGTAGCAAAATAATTTCGATTTTCTCGTGCAATTTGAAAGAGAGTCAAAACTAAGCATTTATATTGGGCCAACAATTTTTACACGCAGTTTATACCAATGGTGGTGGTAATGCTACTCATCCAGTTTGCTCGTTTTGATCATAATAAAATATTACCTGACGTGGTAATGATAGAGATCATGCAAGCATTCTCTTCTCCAGTTTCGTTAGAATCATTAGTCTCAGTACCTATATAGTAGATAAAACGCTACGAAATGCGTAAAATAAAGCACCGAATGATTAGTTAGCTGACGGACCACGAAATATTGTGATTGGGTTATATGAATGAGAGAGAGTCTGCGGTACACGTTGTTTTAGTTTTCACCATTATTGATGAAAGCATATAGAGACTCAAGAGAGATCAAGAATTTTTCTATCATTCAAACTCCAGGAACTAGTCTTTCATAAAACTTGCAGTAAGTGTTCGTCCTTGCAAAACGGAAGAAACCAATTAGAACATTTCAGTCAAACCATAGATATATTCAGCAGTGTCACATATTCAACAAATGGCAGCTATTGGGGACGTGCAAGGAGATGGGACATCTTTCTATCAATCACGAGGAAAAAAATGCAAACAGAAACAAAACAGGTATATTTCACAAATGTGAATGCGGATGGTAATATAATGAACCTATATTTATACTTAGTTGGATATCACTAGTATACTCGATTAGCCGGATATATGACACTTCTCGATTCCCTTGCTTTATGCTCTCGAATCTATAGATAATCGAAATCTGGACTAATTCGATCCGATCTTTTTCCCGAACTCATGAGAAAAACAACTTTCTCTAATATACCATAGATCTTAGAACATGAAAAAAAACTATAAAAATACGTACCAAATCGTTCTAATTCTTTGACCTCATCGCCAATAAAAGCTTGACTCGGTTTATTTCCAACATAGTATCGAAACTCTTGTAAATCAGTTCGTAGTCGAGACTTAAGTAATATAGAGTGAGTATTTACTAGTTCTGATTGACACATTTCCGGTAAAGGATGTTTCCGTTGCTCACCTGAAATAAAAATAACTGATAATCGAAGATTCAATACAAGACAACAATAGTATTCCAATACCTGATGCATAATTATACAATGCATCGCATTCTCCGGGTTGTGTTCCACCTAATTCACCAAGTCGTTGTTTTCCTGTTGACTCAGCAGCTTTTATTTCTTGCAATTCAGTTCGTTCAAGTTGTATACTATATCCGGGAATATTCATGACGTCAGTATCAATAACAAATTGCAGACATGGAAATGTCAAGGATAGTTCAGCTACCATCATAGAAATAAGCAATGTGCTTTGCTCACTAAGTTTCGCTTGTTCGTACGCTTCCCCGATAAGTTCCGTCCATTCAATAGATGTCGCTATCTCGTACATTTGTTCGATAACATTCGTCCGTTCAATACGTTTCACTTGCTCTTCATCATTCCCGATAAGTCTGGTTTGTTCAATCAGTTTTGCTTCTTCGTACGCTAGTTGTTCGACAAGTTCAGTCGACTCAATAGATTTCGCTATTTCGCACAGTTGTTCGAAAAGTTTCCTCCGTTCAATAAGTTTCACTTGTTCTTTATCTTTCAATCCAATGTTCGTTTGTTCAATTGCTTTTGCTTGTTCGTACGCTCGCTCTATAAGTTCCGTCCATTCAATAGACTTCGGTATTTCGCACAGTTGTGCGATAAGTTCCGTCCGTTCAATAAGTTTTCCTTGTTCTTTCAGATGCTCGATAAGTCTCGTTTGTTCAATAAGGTTTCCATGTTCGCACGCTAGTTCGATAAGTTCCGTCCATTCAATAGTTTTCGCTGTTTCGTGCAGTTGTGCGATAAGTTTCGGCAGTTCAATAAGTTTCGGCAGTTCAATAAGTTTCGGATCTCCTTTATAATGCTCGATAAGTTTCGCTCGTTCTTCCCCTTGCTCGGTAAGTTTCGGTTGTTCAATAAGTTTCTTGTGTTTGTACGCTTGTTTCATAAACTCCGTGCATTGAATAGGTTTCCCTATTTCCCACAGTGGTTTTGTAAGTTTCGTCCGTTCAATAAGTTTCCCTTGTTCTTTATCATTCCCGATAGGTTTCGTTTGTTCATTAAGTTTTGCTGCTTCGTACGCTAGTTCGATAAGTTCCGTCCATTCAATCGATTTCGCTATTTCGCACAGTTGTTCGATAAGTTTCGTCCGTTCAATAAGTTTCACTTGTTCTATCAGATTCTCGATAAGTTTCGTTTGTTCGATAAGTTTCGCTTGTTCTTCCCGTTGCTCGGTAAGTTTCGGCTGTTCAATAAGTTTCTTGTGTTCGTACGCTTGTTTCATAAATTCCGTGCATTCGATAGGTTTCGCTATTTCGCACAGTTGTTCGATAAATTTCGTTCGTTCAATTAGTTTCACTGCTTGTTTATCCTGCTTGATAAGTTTCGTTTGTTCAGTAAGTTCGACTTGTTCTTCCCGTTGATTGAAAAATTGTGCTTGTTTAACAAGTTTCTTGTGTCTGTATGCTTGTTCGATAAGTTCGGTCCATTCAATAGATTTCGTTGTTGCGTACAGTTGTTCGATAAGTTGGGTCCGTTCAATAAGTTTCCTTTGTTCTTTATCTTGCTCGATATGTGTCGTTTGTTGGAGAAGTGGCGCTTGTTCTTTCCCTTGCTCGATAAGTTTGGCTTGTTCAATAAGTTTCTTGTTTTCGTACGCTGGTTTGATTAGTTCCGTGCATTCAATAAGTTTCGATTTGTCACACAGTTGTTCGATAAGTTGCGTACGTTCAATAAGTTTCTCTTGTTCTGTCTCATGCTCGATAATTTTCCTACGTTGAATCAGTGTCTCTTGTTCTGTCTCATGCTCGATAATTTTCCTACGTTGAATCAGTGTCTCTTGTTCTGTCTCATGCTCGATAATTTTCCTACGTTGAATCAGTGTCTCTTGTTCTGTCTCATGCCCTATAAGTTTCGTTGGGTAAATAAGGTTCGCTTGTTCGATTGGTTTCGCGTGTTCGATAGTAGATTCGGATTGTTCAAAATGATATGTTGTGATAAATTCTTTCATTATGCTTTTTATTAAGGCACAATTTTCGTGTACTTCTTGTGTTGAAATCTGAAAGCAAAGAATCTGCGCGTTACGCACTCGTTTGATATACAATTTCTGTGCGATATTTGGTAAGTTCTCAAGAGCTACATGATTAACAGTTAGTGGAAACCGTGTTGATATTGATGCTGACTTGAATACACTCAATGAACAACCAGGAATATATATATATAAGTGTGGAGCACTGCTATCGGATGTTGCTGATGAGAATATTAATTTCATTTTTGTTTTAGAATCAGCATGCAATTTTAGTAATCTTCCAAAGAATGACGAACATAAATCACTATTCACCGAATGTTCGGCCACTTTATCAATGGAAAACACTATAGATTTTGTAAATTTTGTACTTTTTGTTGTTAAATATCCATCATTCAATAGGCGTTCTATGAAAAGTCCATCAGTCACATAGAGAATTTCTGCTTGAACATTTTTCTCAGCACCACTAACTGTACACTTACTGATCTCATCTGCCATTGAATCTACATGTTGAGATAACATGGAACATGGTAAATGTCGATGTTGTATGCTAATTGCCTTGGCACACCGTTCGTGATTGATTAGAGCATTTAAAAAAGTTGATTTACCTATGGAAAAAAATAGAGGATCATGTGAAAAAGTGCAGTCGTTGGAAAAGGTCAAATGATAATGCGTTAGAGCTCTAAACGGACCGTCATTTTTTTTCGAGACGCGACCCGAACCAGATCTGAAGAAAATTTCTTTTACAGTCTTCTTCTCACAAGAATTTCGGGATGATTTTAATGATTGTAAATATACTCCGAAGCGAATAACCTATATGATTATGGATTAGAATAGCTCAGAATCTCAACACTGACAGTAAACAATATTCAATGACTGGACTTACTTTTTGAACCCTGCCAACAAAATCTGTTGTCAGGCACGAAAGTCGACCATATTTTTGAGTGAAAGTCTTTTTCGATTTTGAAAATGTAGTGAGTTAGCTTGTAGTCTATACCAGTTTACGAGCAGGAAGAAAATTCACTAGTACGTCCTAACTCACTACATACTCAAAAGCCAGCAAAAGCTTTCTTGTGGAAACCGTCACAATATCCATAGAATTGTTTTTCCAGAAAAATGGTATGGCTTTCATGAATTTGTCCGTGAATCAAAGTTGTATTTATAACTCTTTCTCTAAACAATAGCTTATATTTGATAATTTTTTTCTGTACATAAATTCCTCACGCTAATTAATGTAGTTATGCACAACAGAACGTTTTATGTGGATGAGAGATACATCTGATGCAGGCAATTACTATGATGTATCACATCAATAATATCTGAAATTCACATAGTTTTCTATCGTAAAGCATTTTTGATGATGTCTGATATTTGCAGCAGGTATGTAGATTAATAAAAAAAGTACAAATGAATGTAAATGTTGCGTCAAGGGATCTGAAAAATCACTTTTTCTGGATCTCCGACAAAAATTTTGAATGGCACTGATCCTCTCGTTGTTAAAAAGTTTTCTTGCTTTCGATTTAAATTTTTTTTCAAAAAATAATCAATCTTGCCGATAATCTCCAAGTAACGCTCATCGACAGAACTCGCTTAGCCCTCGACTGAGTTCAATGTTGTAATCATTTATTATCGTTTTCGGAGTTCTGCTTTGAGAATTATTGTTTAACACACTCTCAGACAAAAATCAGCCTATAGTACTGTTTGTGATGACCATTTTGTAAAAGGATCGGACCCAGGTCGATCGGTCCGGTCACCGGATACTGCAGGAACCGGCAGGAAAGACGCGGAAAAATCGCCGGTTCCTGCAGGAAAACACCGGAAATCAACGGAACATGGAAGCAGTATTCCGGC